CTAAGATTACAGATGCCCAAAACCCAACTGATCAGCAAGAGACAGTTATCATAACACAGGTATAATTTTCAAAATTCGTCATCTATGGGAATTGAACCTTAGACCTGCCACTTGAGGGTTGATAACCTATCCACTTTACTAGGTTGCCACATTCTAAAAAGTTTCTATCCTTAGGATATGACATTTTTTTCCAAAATATAAAATATGAGTTGTCTTCAGAAGCTCCCTTACATTAAGGTTACAACTAGTCACAAGTACCCTTTTGGTATCTAATTTAAGTAGTTTGCTTATATATTGCTATATAAGTTTTACACTAGATATCATATCTGCAAACCAACTAGAAGACTTGTTTATTTAAACTTTCTGCATATGCAATCTATCTTGTATTATAGGAACATCTTTAAGGCTACATTTATTCAAGTTCTTGATACTAATTGGTACTCTTAGAACTATTTTATTCTTGACAAAAAACTTATTAGAGCCTTTATGTATCACATATACTAACCTAGTTTTATGCAATATACTATAGTTATTTAACACTTGCAATCATAAGATTACCTGTTTAACTACTAATATGCAACTTTTGGTTATATATTTATATAGTCTGCTTTAGAGTTTTATATTAGATGCTATACTTATAATCTATTAAGAGATTATTTAATTAAATCTTCTAATTATTTACTCTATTATTTATATACTACTCCTATATTCTCTATATATACTTAATTATTATACTATCTGAGCAGTATAGTACTTACTTTTTTTGTACTAGTTTTTAGGCTATTTTATATTTTAGAATATAACACCTCTTAGCAAAATGCAAGGGCCTTCTTGTTAACTACTTATCTATTCTATAGAATATTAATAAAGACTAATTTTGTAAAGTTTACTTAGACTCCAGTGTTGACTTTACAGCATATCTTTAGTATTTTTAGTATACTTCTGCTTTGTTTTTAGACTTTCAGTTTAAATAGCTTAAAAGAACTATAATCTGTTCTTGATATATTGAGACTAGTCTAATATCCTTTTTTTAGTTCAAAATCTGACAGCCTAGTTGAATTCCCTTTACCTAAGGTTCTTGCCTGCTTGCTTTTTTTATATTGGTATCTATTTTCTAGATTTAGTCTTTATAGCAGTATTGTTAAAATTCATGCTATTCTTTACTTAAAATTTCTAGTTTTTTTAGTTTTACAAATTTATATAACTACAAAAACTTATTTTAAATTTGTATTGCCTGGTACTGGTTTGCATTCTTATGTATAACCAAGATTATACAGATGTCTTATAATTTGCCAATCATACTAATATAACTATAGTTACAGGTATTTTATTTTAACTAATCAACAGAATGCTATTGTTATAATATTAACTATATATTATATAAATACTTATCTAAATTTTTACTATTGATAAGTTTTGAACTCACAACCTACTATTTGAAAATTAATAACTTATTTATTTTACTAAGTTACTACATCTTATCAGTATTGTTAAATTTGTAGTTTTATTAACTAAAGGAGTTTTTATAAAAAATATAATAAGTTTAAATAGATGTAATATTATAATATCTAATAAATTGCTTAATACAAGCTGTTCTTTGCTTTAATAACATGTTTTTCAATATTTTATTCAAATAATAGATATATTATAATTGTGCTCTTTAATTTTTTTTTTTAAATTAAAAAAAAAAACTGATAAGTAATTGCAATTTGTATTTAATAATTTTATAATAGATTTTTTAAAAAATACAGATAGAATTATTAATAGTACTATTTTTATTATGATTTAATAATTTAGCTATAACTTTCTTATACAGATTTGTAATAAGTATTTATTTAACCAAGTTTTTATTTTTAAAAAATAAAATAAAAATATATAATTATAAAAAAATAAAGTAATTATATAAAAAATCTGGTTGAATTTTAAAAAAAATTAATAAGATATTTGATTTTTTTAATTTAATATAAATAAAAATATTTTATTATTCTTATTACATAATTGTATGTATAGAAAAGAATGCATTATTAGAAAAAATTGCATTATTAAAAATGAATGCATCATTAATAATAGTATCTAAAATAATATTAGATTAATAATTTTTATAATTATTTGATAATAATTTTTTTTTAAAAAAAAAGAGAAGTTTATTCTTTATTTTTTTATTAATTAGTTAATTTACATATAAAAGATATATGCTAAATAAACTAAGCTAAGAGAGATAAGAGTAAGAGTTACTTTACTCTTGATCTATTTTTTACTAGTATAGTCTGTAGATCTTTAGTCTATAATAAAATGACTAAAAGAAGATTATCTATAAGTAATATAATGATATCTTTTTTATTTAGTAAGAAAAATAAAATTAATTTAGTTTTAACTAATATTAGAGGTTGTAAAGGTAATAGGATTAGAAAAAACACTAATTAAAGACCTAATTCTAAAAACAATTCAAAACAGATTAATGCAACTTTTGCATATAAGAACAAGACAACAATTTATAAATATAGTAACAAAAACAATCTAGAACATCTTTTATGAATAAGTCTAAAGAATATATTATGAAAAGATTAATATATAAAAAAAAAAAAAGGAATAAGACCTGTGTGTTAATAGTGAAATGGTTACGCTTCCAGGTCACCAATTACAAGGTTGCTGGTTCAAGTCCAACAGGGGACAAAAACTGAGTTAGGACCATGATTATTAATTAATTACAGTTAACTGCAAACTATAAAAATAGGAAGATCTTTGGTATCCAGATCCTTAAATGGTGATAGACCTGACATAAGAAGGTCATGATAATTAGGAACTGAGAATTATAATAGAACAAAGGAATTTCTGATTAGAAATAGTTCTGGTGAAATTCTAGGATAAAATAGGAATACAAAAATTAGTATATAGATAGTACTGTAAATGTATACAAATAATGTAAAAATGTAGGCAGGGTCCTGATAGAAGGTCCCATGAACTTGAAAAAATTCAAACTAATAAAATAACCACCAGCTATGACCCACTAACGACCATGCAATAGAAAATTTAAAAAAAAAAAAAAAAAGAGGAATAACAAGCAAGTAAAAAAAAAACAGAAGAAAGAAAAAAATCCAAGCAAAAAGAAGAAGGTTAGTTAGCAAAAAATAAAAGTAGAAAAAAAGAGAACAAAAGAAAAAGAAAAATGAATCAAAAATGAAGTTAAAAAAACAATTTAAAAACTTGTTATAAAAGAAAGAAGTCCCTTTCATTATGAACTTTAGGTAGTTAGACAAGCAGCTTATTTCTGCTAGAGGTAATGTAACAAATTGCACTTAGATGCCATTAGAGTAACCAGATGATGCTAGACTTAGTTGTTAGGTATATTTATGTAATTGCAATAACAATTCCAAAAATCTTAATAAAACATTAACATGACTGCTTATAATAAAAAATAAATAAATAAAATTTACCAAAAAATTGTTTTGATAAAACTCAAACCAGTTTTATAAACAAAATTTTGAGTTATAATTAGTTTTTTAAAAAAATTTTTTTTTTAATTACACAAACATAATTTTTATATTACATCTGACTTAAATTTTAATTGACTATAAAAATATTTTCTAATTATATTTTTTTAGGTTTAATTATTTTTATTTAGAGTTAAAATAGGTTATCTTAATAAAATTTTAAGTAATTTTAATATTTAAAAATAGTTAAAATGTTCAAAGACTGTTCTGTAACATTCTTGCAATTGTCCTTCACTATAGTCACCTTCTATATAATCATACCTCTTTATAAACGACATTTTTTGAAGTTAAATATATTGCTAATAATTTTTTATATAATCACATTTACTATTAAAATTTTTATAATTATGTAATTATAAATAGTTGTAATCATGAAACTCACAAGATTCACAAAAGAATTATAAATTGATCAAAACCAAGAGATTTGTCATATGATATTGCACACCCAATAATGTATTCAGCAGAATATTATTATAATGAAAGTATGAGCTAGTATGTAAATGCTTATCATATAGTCAATATGTTTCATAATAAAATTTTGCATGCTAATAAAAACATTTGAAAGCATAATTAAATTTAAACGTTTAATAGTTTTCGCGCACTAACACAATAATTAAATTTTAAACAACCTATGATAAAATGTGAGCCACATTTAATTATGACTCTTCAAACAAATCTCGGTATCGTAAATTTGCCGAAGGCCCACTTTTGAAATTAGTGATAGTACACTGTGTATGCATATTTTGACTGTTTCTTACTGGTCCAGCTTTCTAAATATACATCTTTTATTCTGAATCGAAGAAATATAATTCAAAAAACTTTCGGATTTTAACATACAACATTCCCTAAGTACATATGTGTATTTTTCTCACTATGAACAGTTTATTTAATCAGCAAATAAGTCTCATTTGCGTAATTTTTAAATGCGCAGCAGCAGCCAGTTTATATTTAGTTGATTGTCGTATGAGTAATAATGTATTTGATCTATATACAAAGACGGAAAAAGAAGTTTGTCATGTACTTAAAAATTAAGTAAATAATATATAAAGCAGAGTTCGAGAAAATAATAATAATAATAATAACTGTGCTAAAAAATGGAAACTTCTACAAACAAAATTCCAACAATTTGAATTGTTGGAGCAGGTATAGGTGGACTTAGTTTTTATCATTCAGTTCGAAAACTTCTTAATCAAAAGTTTAATGTTAAAATATTCGATCGCGAGACTAGTCCTCAAGGTTTATTTTTCAATGTTAATTAAATTATCTCTTGAGAAAAAAAAAAAAGAGTGCATACTATTCATTGATGCCTAATTAATTACTTTGTCGTTTTACTAAAATCCTCGACCTTGGCGTAACCGGTATTGCCATAGATATTGCAGCACCAAAAGATTTGGCCGACCGATTGATGTCTGTTTATGCAAATGCAATAATGCAAAAATCTCTTGGACGGAATGGCGATTCATTTCTTTCAATGGTGCGCTACATACCAATCGATCAATCCGATGAACCAAGTTATAGGGTTACCCTTGGATATCATTATCCGACGAATCTTGATATTAAAGATAATATATTAAATCGACGATAATGATCCTGAATCTGTTATAAAACAAGAATTAAATAATTACGTCCACCTTGTAAATTAACAGATTTGGCAATAGAATTATTTTCATTGGCTCCATTCTCTCATCCGAGCAAAAAGTACCCATTTAGAACGTATAATCGTCCGCGACGTCGTCAACTTCGTGATATTGATCCATTGTCTGTCCCACCCTGGAAAATGATAGAATTGCTTTGTTAGAAGACGCTGCTCATGCTATGAATCCATTATTAGGATTAGGTTTGTGTTTATTAAATGTCTTCATAAAAAGATTTTAATTAGTACTTATTATCATATCAATATGTATTTTTAAGGTGCAAATAATGCTATACAAGATGCCGACCTGTTGACTAAGGAATTACTCAGTTGCGAAAATGAAGAACTTATTACGTGTATTCAACGATATAACGAGAAAATGCGAGTTCGATCATCTAAAGACGTTATAGCATCTCGTAACACGGTATTAAGACAACGACGTCCATTGGGGAATTTTGGTCTAGTTGTTAGATATCTATTTATTAGAGCTGTTAATGTTATTTTTCACGTTATTGCATTTATTAAAGCTCGCATTTAAGTATAAATCCTAATTTACAATTAATATCGTAATTTATTCCTTTTCACGTTATTGTATTTATTAAAGTTCGTATTTAAGTATAAATTCTATTTACAAATTCATATCATGTTTATTATAATTATACTTACTATAATTTATTTCACATTATTGTCTGGCACAAAAAGATTAGCATAAAATTAATTTGTCTATAAAAAGTTTTAAAATTGGTTTATAGTAAATGTTAACAAGTGTCAACTCAACTAAGCCTAAATTTAAAATCGCTTAGCTGGCTATGCAAAGTCGATTGCCTATTGCCTTTGGTATGTGAAAATAATATATGTGAAATAATATATATCATGAACCCATTATTATAAAGTTATTTGATTCTAGTTTTCCTAACTCTTCCGACACTTCATATATACTTAATCAAGAATTGACTATGTTAAATGTTAAAAAAATCGACTGACTTAATCGACTACCACCATCAACCTATCTTTAAATCTAAATTAAAACCGCAAGCTTTGTTTTTAAAGACGAGAGAAACAACTCTTGTGAATTATTTATGTTAGATTTTAAAGCCGAAGGCATTTAGTGTCTAGTGTAACAAAACATATACACCCATGCGTCGTGACATGTAATACACATTGCAAGTCATAAGTTAGTACGAAAATTTTTTGTTCTGGACACATAATGCTATGCTTTAAGTTCTTCGGTCAAATGGAAATATGAAAATTTTAACTACGGTTATTTTAACGATTTTGGTTGCATTTTTAGCGATTGTATATTCTTTATATAAAGATTGGCTAGTATTAAGTGGGTGCTATCGTGGACCAGCTCAAAAATATAATGGAGGGAAATGTCGATATCTCGAAGGCATGTTGGTTATAATTTTATTTTTTGCCAACATGTTTTCATTCCTGATAAATAGTACATGGTCTAGGTCTAAAATTAAAGTTATGCGAAGATATTAAAATACATCATGCATCTGGACTTGCCTACTTTGCATGTGGAGACGAACAGAGTCGCAAAACTATACCATGGCCACCTCCATATAATAACAGTTTTCATCTAAGGGGAACTTTTTATGTATACAACGTCAAGGTATCTTCAAATCAAGTGTTTGACATGGAGCATTTATACAATTTTAATTAGTAATATATTTCATATAATTCGTATTATCAGACAGACAAGTTAACATTCCTTATTCTCAAAAATTTTTCTGATAAAGAAGATTTTTCGCTTCATGGTTTTGGAATATATGAAAGTCCTACGGAACCTGATAATCTTTATTTCTTTATTATAAACCACAAACGCTCCGGAAGTGTGATTGAGTTATTCAGGCACAAAATAAACACATTTGAATTATATTATTTAAAAACATTTAAACATGGTTTAATTTATAATCCTAATAATATTGCTCCAGTGTCAAGAGAAGAATTTTACGTAACAAATGATCTTTATTGTCAGTCGTATTGGATGATGCTATTTGAAAGTATCTATCGTACTCAATTTTCAAAGATTCATGAAGTTATACTAATAATTAATATAATTTAAAATAGTCCTGACACGTCGTAGATGGAGCAATGTTGTATTTCACTCCTCAAAAACCAATACTACAGAAATAGTTGTTGATGGATTAACTTTTGCAAATGGGATCAATGTAAATTGGGATTATTCCCGCGTTTTTATTGGAACTATTGGTACGGGAGAACTTTTAATATATGAAAGAAATCCTGATAATAAATTGAAGCTGTTAAATGTGATTGATGTTGAACATCCTATTGATAATGTTAATGTGGATCCGGTGACAGGAGAAATTTATCTTGCAGGTATGTTAATGTAAATGTTGATTGTCTTTTAGATTGACATCTTTTTTGAAATACCATGAACTTCATGTAATAGTGGCACATAATCTTGCAGAAATGGGCTTGTATTTGAGTGGTTTGGTCAAATCAAAAAAACCTTCATTCGGTGTAATTAAAATTAGCAACAACACTGAAGAAGACAAGTTTGATGGGATCAAATACGTAAAAGAGAAAATATTTGAGGATGATGGTGCTTTGTTTCATACAGTTTCTGTGGTGGCTGGTGATAGTAGTAGGAAAGTGATGTTTTTGGGATCACCCTTTGCTGAAGGGGTTGTTAGATGCGATTGGATTAAGTGAGTTGAGAGATAGGTTTATAAATTAGTGGAGAAAGAAATAATTTATTTAGCGTGAGATGGAGATTTATTTTTTATGTAATCTTATTCTGCTGGTATCATAAATATCGTTCACTTTATTTTGTCACCAGTTTTTTTGTGACTTGAGAAATTAAAACATGTTACGTCTCTTTCATTATCAAAACTATGCGAGTGGCTCTGGCTTGATTACATCGAATATGTCAATGTATACAGGCAGAAGCAAAGTTACTACTAATATTGGACAGATTGGTGTGCATGGTAATCACTAGAGATGGACACATCGCGGTTTCACCAAAAAATCCCGCGCGGGATTCATTAGTATATTAGTAAAGCTTGGAAAAATAAGGGTTAGTAACTTTATCTTTTCTGCGAACCCGACTTTCATTCTGATTACTTCGACCCCGCCCACCTTACCCGTAAGCATTGCAATATTTTAGTGGTCTGGCCTGCCGGGACGGTAGTCAAAGTGAATTAGTAGGGTGGGTGAGTGTTAAAATTGCAAGTTTTAAATTGCGGCCCGTTCGGACGACAGTCGTAATGAAAGATTGGTCAGTCGAGACGATTGCTAATAATAATATTTAAAGAGGAATTGTAATAACCAACCGTGAAGACTGTGTAGGTGCTCGAATGTCATCATTCCTCCTTACACTGCCCATAATTAACTCTAACTTTGCCTTAACTTCGCTCTTCTTCACCTTTTCTTATCTAATAACTACTAATCTATCAATTACCAAAAGTCTACTGAAGACCTAAATTTGAATTTTTACACAATCTACTGATCTCAAGCAATTATATCTTATCATTAAGTTTGATGTCAGATTTAATATTAAACACTTCTTTAATATTTTTAAAATATTCTTCTTAAAAATTTTGTATTCTTTCATTAAAAACTTCTCTTAATCATTTTATTTCATGATTCAAATTATTTTATATTTCATATAGTTAACAATTCTCTGGTAATATTGACAAAAAAAAAAATCTATATATTATTCAAAATTCAATTTTGTTAATATTTCATTCTTCAACTCTCTAAACATCTTTCTGAAACTTGTACATTTAAAAAATTTAATTCTCTTTATCAATTACATGAAGAAATATTTCATGTTTTCAATTTTTATTATCTTATTTATAATAACAAATCCTATTTATATTTTAATGATAAAAAATTCTATAACAATATCAAGTTCTATAATAATATTTTAAATATATCTTATATATCATTCTTTTTATAAGATAATAAAACATAAATTTCTTTAATTCTTTACATTACATTATTTAATAAAAATAAAGAATATGTTGTCTTATTTAATAAACTTATTTTAAATAAAACTCTTGATAATCTTGCAATTAAGTAAAAAGAATAAAATAAAGTCAAAATTAATCTCAAATATTATAATTATTATTTCTACTATTATTTCTTATTTTATTATTAAAATACAACCAAAAAATATAATATTCAGTTTATTTTCAAAGAGAAGACAATTAATTTATTAATAAAAAATATTATTGATATAAAATTTCTTATTTATATCATTATTTATTTTAATATTATTAAAAATTAAAAACATATTTATTTATAATCATTAAATACTTCAATAATATTGTTTACTTAATTTTTAAAAAATTCTTAATTATAAAATTTAATCTTAATTTTAATCTACATTTCACTTTTTACAATCTTCTTATCTTCTATAACAAATATTAAAACAGTTACTATTTTATTAAAAAATACAATTAATAAAGTTAATAATAAAAATAAATTAAATAGATAAATAAATAAGTTAATTATATAGAAGATCAATATAATGATAGTTAGACTCAATATATAAAGTAGATTATAGTACTTTATATAGCTATAAGAACTAAACATACTATAACCAAATCTATAAAAAACAATTTAAAATATTATTTATAATATCTTTAGACTTTTATAAATTTTTTTTTTTTTTTTAATAAAAAAGAGGTCTATCCTCTATCTCTTTATTAATTAATCAAATTATATATATAAGATACATGTTGAAGAAACTAAACTAAGGGGGATGAAGGTAAGAGCTACTTTATTCTCAACCTATTCTTTGCTAGAATAGTCAATAAAACTCTAGTCTTTGATAAGATGATGAAGAAAAGATTGTCTATTAGTAATACATTGTTGTATTTTTTTATTTAATACTGATATTAGAATCAGTTTAGTTTTAGCTAATGTTGGAGGTTGTAAGGATGATAGGGTTAGGAAAACTGGATTATGTTGTACTGTTCTTAAGTTAAGCCAAAGCTCTTTATATATTGTAGTAATAATATTATAGTGTACAAGAGGAGCATATTTATTTTTTTGTTTGTTGTTTTCAAAAGATGCCAGTGTCTCAGTTATTATTAGTCCTAGTGGCATATGCTTGTTAATGTGATTTGAGATAAAAGTTTAAGTAAATCTATGTATTTCATAGCATGGTATTTTCAAGTTGTTTGATGTTTTCTGCACTGCATCTTTTATTAAGATTGTAAAACATGTATGATTCTAGAAACAAGTTAAAAAGTGTATTATATCTTCTGGTGCATCATATCATCTTGGACAAAGATAGTTTGGATATTTGGTAGCATTTTTCTAGTAAAGCAGAAGATGCGTAGATAATTCTTCTGAGAGTATTTTTATTTTAAGTTTTTTAGTACTGAAGAGAAAGGATCAGTCATTAAGATGAGAGGTTTTTCTCTATATAATAAGTATTGCAATGTTAGTGACTAGTTAATCTTGTTTTGTGAGGTGTGCCAGGATGAGATCTGTTATTGATTGAACCAAATCATTCTGTTTGTAATTTGGTGAATTTTTTCAATGTAGTTTTTAATAAATATATACAAGGATTGCCAAGAAGTTTTAAAACAAAGTAGTTATATAAGAATTTTTGTGGTGCAGAATTTAGTAAAAATATATTATTTTGTACTTGTGAGATTTTGAGTTCTTTGTTCAATATAATTGTTAGAGTTTGGTTATATGTTATTGCTTTTAGTATCAGAAGAAGGTAGGTATGTTGCTGTTTATCAAACTAGGGCAGTTATGTGATTGGACTAACTATATATAAGTAATTATATTTACAAGTAAAGAGTTGTTAGTGATTATTTTAATGTTGGCATTTGGATTCATTGTAGTGAGTACAAAAATTAACAAAGTTATTAATATGTTTAAGTAAGAAGGCCAACAGTTAATAAAACAACTGAATAAGATATCAAGATATTAAAAGTAGCAACTCATGATTATATGTGAGTTGTTTTCAATATTGCATCGACCACTTGTTATGTATAGTGTTATTGTTTTTTTGTTAAAATTGTTTTTCGTCATTGTGTCCCAGAATGGTATTGAAGAGTTGTTAAATGAACATAAGTGTCTAGCTAAGACTGAGTACATTTCTTGTTTTTGGAATTGATTTGTTGTTAGTAAATTTACAGTTAACACTTTTTTAAAATCATCTAGATCAATGTAGATTCTTTTTTTACAATTCACTTGAAGATTATATATTGGTTCTGAAGTATTAAAGTAACAGTATTTAGAGATGTAGAATCTGTTTTTTAAAGTGCATCCTTGGCAAGCTGTTAGTGTATTGTCTGAATTCAAGTTGTAATGTCAAATTTTAAGATGCTTTTTAAATAGATTGTAGATTTTTCTATAAAATAAGTTTTTTGTAATTATTCAGTTTTTCTTGTTAGGCATCCAATTGGTTGTGATGTATGAATTTATTTCTAAAAGTGTTAATAATAGATTTGCAGAAGCAGTTATTAGGTCCTGTATTATTGAAAACCAATGGAAACATTGGCCTCTAGATATTTTTCTAATGTTATAATAAAAGTTATTTCATATTATCAGTTCTGTATTTGTTGAGTTTAAGAATTGCTCGATGCTTATGATGTTATGATTATTTAATTTTCTTTGAAATAAAAGACTCTAGAATGGTTTATAAGAAGTTGGTTTATAAATGTTCCAAAATTTTTTTTTGAATATGACCAGTCATTACTATTTCATATAGTTTGCAATCCTAGTATATGTAATGCTATTATTATTTGGCATGTTTGTGTATTCATTTGTGATAATGGGAATACTAAAAGTTGTTTTAAAATTGAGATGTTTGTAAGTGCTGCATCTTGCAGTTGTTGTAGTTGCAGTTTTAGAAAAGAAGCATTAAAGTTATGATGATTTAGGTTTTTTTGAAGTGTTGTAACTAGTGCTGATGCTTGGGCTTGTTTTATGTCTATTAATGCATAAATGTCTGGATTGAATAAAAAGAAATTTGAAACCTCTTATGCTAATTTTACTTTGTGTTTTATTAATTGAGTACAAGTTCTATTGAATAAGCCTAGTTGTGAAGAAGAAAGAAATAAGGAATATAGGTAATAGAGAAGGTGCGAGACAATGACACTACCATGCTCCCAAATATTTAAAAGGTGTCTTATTGTTAATTACTGTTAGTTTTTCTTTGTCAAAAAGTATAGTTTTGTTTGAGTCTAATGAGTTTGTGACTAAAGTGAACTTCAATGAATTGACTTTTATATTAGCAAACTTGTAGAAGAAGGAGGTAAAATATAAAATGTTGGTAAGTAAGGCTCTGTTTGGTGCAATGCATAGAGAGTTATCTATGTAGACCATAACTGAAATGTGTATTTTTTTTGTATTAAGAAAAGGAATTTTACTACAGTATTCTTGCTGTTCTTTATGTATTCATGATATTAATGGGTTATAATATATTTTCCAAAAAAGAGAAGAGATTGTCTCTTCTTGGTCAATACCATCTTCTACTAAGTATGAGGCAGTTAGATCTAGGGTTGTGATTACTCTGTTGGTTCGATGTAAGAGCAAATATACTAGTAGGTTTATTACCTTGTCTGGGATGCATATTCTTTTAAATGATTTGCTTAAAATAGATATATAAATTAAGTTAAAGCTTTTTGACATATCTTGGAAAAGGATTCAGATTTCTTTATTATTTGTGACTGCATCTTCTA